TATTCAGTAATATAGGGATTCAGTGTTAGTGTACAAGTTTAACCGAAATACCTTTAATGTTATAAACCATTGTTCTTTGCATCCCTACCCCCCGCGGCCTATCACCAAAACTTCTAATGGAAACACTGAATAAAACAGTGCAACTCATTACTGTTGATTCTAGCAATAAGACACAGAACCACAGAAATATTTAAATTATGATAAGGAAAAAACCCAGGGGCAAACTTGAGGCCTGTTATGTGGAGTCTCACAGGCTTGCCTTATTAAACCATTCTTCAGTTTAACGTTTTTAAAAGCGTGGATGGTTCAGAAGACAATTTCAAGTTCTTCAAGACTTCTTGACTATTCTACTTCTAAAGCGAACACAGTGTCATGTCTTATTCCTATTATCTACACAAGTCTCAAGCCTTAGCTTACAAAAAAAGCAGAATAAGACATGCTGACAGATTATATTAATAATTTTAGTCCATTTCTTATTTATTTATTTTATTTATTTATGGCTGTGTTGGGTCTTCGCTGCTGTGGGCGGACTTTCTCTAGTTGCAGTGAGCGGGGGCTACCCTCTCATTGCTGTGCGCGGGCTTCTCATTGCAGTGGCTTCTCTAGCTGCAGAGCACGGGCTCTAGGCGCGCGGGCTTCAGTAGTTGTGGCACGCAGGCTCAGTAGTTGTGGTTTGCAGGCCCTAGAGCGCAGGCTCAGTAGTTGTGGCGCGTGGGCTGAGCTGCTCCGCAGCATGTGGGATCTTCCCAGACCAGGACTCGAACCTATGTCCCCTGCACTGCCAAGCAGATTCTTAACCACTGTGCCACCAGGGAAGTCCAACAATTTTAGTCCATTTCTACTCTTGGAAGCCTGAATGTGTAGAAAAGGAAAATTATGGTAACAGACTGTTGACATTCTTGGTTCTGCACGAAACAAAATGGTGAATTCAAAAGTATGAATTATGAACACTGTAACGAAGATATATGAATGACACCTACCGGGTGTCAAAGTTTTAAGAAACTCCTAAATTATAGATGTCCATTTTGCAAAAGGAAAATGGAATATTAAAATTATTTTGGGGGGACTTCCCTGGTGGCGCAGTGGTTGAGAGTCTGCCTGCTGACGCAGGGGACACGGGTTCTTGCTCCGGTCTGGGAAGATCCCACATGCCGCGGAGCGGCTGGGTCCGTGAGCCATGGCCGCTGAGCCTGCGCGTCCGGAGCCTGTGCTCCGCAACGGGAGAGGCCACGACAGTGAGAGGCCCGCGTATCGCAAAAAATATATATATATATTTTTTTGGGACTTCCCTGGCGGTCCAGTGGTTAAGACTCAGCACTTCCACTGCAGGGGGTGCAGGTTCGATCCCTGGTCAGGGAACCAAGATCTCGCATGCCGCATGGTTCGGCCAAAAATAAAAAAAACAAACAAAAGTTATTTTTATAGCCGAGAAGCAGCAAAAAGGAGACCGGAATTTGAGTCAGGAAAACGAGTTCTGCCTTTCCCCCACCTAAATGGAGGTCTTTGGTGAACCACTTAACAAGGCCTAACCTTTCATTAGGTTAATGTTCAGAGGATTCTTGGAAGAATCATGAGACAGGGTACATTGAAAACCCATAAAGAGCCAACAATTATCAAACCAGGAAAGAATTCATTCATTTCAACTAATATTTACTGATAGAGGCCCTGGGGATACAGCAGTAAGCATGACATTCAAACTACCACCAAAATGCCACACATGTTCATTCCCTCTGTATCTTTCAGACCGGTTTTTAAGCCTTTTCCTTTCTTTTTTTTTTCTTTCTTAAAGAGGGCACCAATATAAAATAAGAAAGAAAATAACATTTTTGTTATTCTTGGAGAAAGAAAGAAGTTGGGCTATGTTCCTTTGCCTGGCAAGAGAAGAAAGAAATTTCTCAACCCCCTTTCTCCCCATCCTGCTTTTACCACAAACATCTTGCTTTCCCTGGATATTTTCAAGAGTTCTAGAAACCACATTTTCCTGGCTTTTCCACCAGGTGGTATAGCACCAAAAAACTCACTATTATCAATAATAGATCCTTCTGACAACACTTCTCTTCCCATCTCTCTGAAGAAACGATAAATTTCACTTCTACACCATATGGCAGAAGTGCCTACCTAATTCTTACAATCACCAGCGTAAAAAATGAAAAAAGGCTTATCTAACCTCAGGTAAAAGAAATGTGCTGTATTAAGAGTGCCTTGCTTTAAATTTAACTCACAAATCTTATCAGGAATTTAACAGACTCACTCTAAATAAACCCAAATGCCCACAAAAATTCAATTAGAACACCTTCTCCAACTGGCAAATAAGTCCTCTAACTCAGCACCCTGTATGTGTTATGTTAGAAGGGGAAATACACAGGCAATAAAGTTTCAGAATATACTTTGAAGCTCTTTAAGCAAAGGTCTAGGTCTTACTGTCCTGATTTTCAGCACAATCTTCAAAATACATATTGATGTCAAACCAATTCTAAATACTAAATAAGTAACATTAAATGAGTATAATATATATATATACTAGATGAATATTACAGAAGTTAATGAGTGTAACATAGAAACACTGTGTGTATAAACCCAGAAAAAAATATTTTTACTTTTTTTTAAAAATAAATTTATTTATTTATTTTATTTCTTTTTGGCTGTGTTGGTTCTTCGTTGCTGCACGCGGGCTTTCTCTGGTTGTGGCGAGCGGGGGCTACTCTTTGTTGTGGTGTGTGGGTTTCTTGTTGCGGAGCACAGGCTCTAGGCGTGCGGGCTTCAGTAGTTGTGGCACGTGGGCTCAGTAGTTGTGGCTCGCGGGCTCTAGAGCGCAGGCTCAGTAGTTGTGGCGCACGGGCTTAGTTGCTCCGCGGCATGTGGGATCTTCCCGGACCAGGGCTCGAACCCATGTCCCCCCTGCATTGGCAGGTGGATTCTTAACCACTGCGCCACCTATTTTTACTTTTAAAGCGTTTTCATACAAGTTCAACCTGGATACTTCGGCCCTTGTCAAGGAGCGTCTCACACCTGGAGAATTCAGGACCAGCTAGTTTTTTGGAGATACTAGTCAACTCCGGAATAGACTTCAAACTACCACAACCATCTCTGACAATCTCTATTCCAAGTATCAAATGATGACAGCAAAAAAGTAGAGAAAGGAAAGAAAGGGGAGGTCAAGAAAGAAAGAGAAAAGCAAAGTGAAAAAAGCACAAGGAAATGCAATCCTTCTACGAGTGATTGGAGGGCGGTTATTTCTGACTTCGAAACCTCACAGCAAACTCCTGTCCTTAAAATACACTCCACTAAAAATAAGATTTCACTTGCTATGGACCGAATGTTTCTGCCCCACCCCTGCCCAGTTCACATGATGAAGCCCTAATGTGACAGGATTTGGGATGCGGGGCCTTTGGGAGGTAACCAAGTCTTGAGGGTGCCCCCCACACAATGGTATGAGTGTCCTCTTAAGCGGGAAAGAGGCAGCCCTTTGGGTGAGGACACTGCCAGGAGTCAGCTGTCTGCAAGCCAGGAAAGGGCCCTCATCAGAACCCGACATGCTGGCACCCAGATCTCAGACTTGTAGCCTCTGGAACTGTCAGAAACACATACTTGTTAAAGTCACCTAGCTTGCGGCATTCGTTACAGCAGCCTCAGGTTAAAGTGACTAGTAAATAGTATGGCTTTAAGCCTTAGAAACAATAAAGAACAGAGACCTACTGAACCAGAACTTCACTTGGGGTTAACTGCTACTGAATAAGGGTACCCGACTTCACTCTTGCCCTTCCCTCTCCCCTCTCCCCCTTCTTCTGGTTTGGAAGTTAAGAGGTTCAAAAAACTTCCGAATCGTAACAAGAAATTTGACCTCACAAAGTGGTTAAATAAACTTTAACAGTCTGGCAAGGAAACCCTGACACATTACTCCATCCTCACCCCTCCCAGAAGGCATCACCCGGCCCTGAACGATTTTCCTTGCTTCTAGTCTCTAGAAGTAAGTCTGATGGCGATGTCTGGAGCGCGCCTACTGTTTTTTAAGAGCAACCAATTTGTTCCGGTCCAGCCTTCTCTCATCTGATACGAGCACGTCAGGGTTGGCAGGGCTTCCTTGGTGTGGCTCCCAGGGCCAGGAGGCCGCGGGGTTCAAGCGCCCGACTTCGAAGTCTGCCCAAGTGTCCTGTTTCGGGGTAACCTCCCTGACACTGTCACGGTCGGCGAAACCGGCCCAAGTCTTCCCATCTTCTCCCAAGTCATGCTTCCCACACTGCACGCTTCCTCCAAAAAAGGAAGAAACCAGCCGAAGGCTCAGCTCTCGCCGGCCGATCCTACCTAGCACCGGAACTTGTTTGCAAAACATTCGAGGCACCTATACAATTGACTTTACTGCAACCGCACAACCTTGACTCCCGCTACCAAGATTTAATGAACGCCTGCTCTGGTCTGGCCAGGCGTTCCTCTCAGCGCTCCCCCACCGATACCGCCACGAGAGGCGCCTGGACCGGGAAGGTAGGGGAGGCCAGGTCCCCACGTCCTCTCCTGGGTGTTACACGGCCCCCAGGCCACTCCAGGGGCCACAGGCCAGGGAACGGACTAATAGTGGGGGCCGGCGTGAGGCCCGCGAGGGGGCGAAGGGCGTCCCCAGGCGCAGGGGAAAAGCGGGGAGTGGCCGGCGGACGCCTCCTGGCTCTCAGAACTGCCCCCCCAGCCGCCGGCCGCCGGAGGCAGAGCAACAGAGGCCATCTGCCGCAGCAGGCGGGAGCGGGCCCTCCGCCTCCCCGCCCTCCCTCCGGCTTCCCTCCCCAGGGAGCCCCGCGCACGCCCGCACGCGCAAGCTCAAGGCACTACCCCGGCATCCGGAAAGACAGAAACCCCTTCTCGGAGGTCTCCTCCTCCTCCTCCTCCTCCTCCCTCGCGAGCATCCCCCCGCGCGCCCCGCGGAAACCCGTGGACTTGGGGGTCCCGCCGCGCCGGGACTCCCCGGGAGCGACCGAGCGCCGGCTACTGCGCCTACCGGGCACGCCACTCACTTGCTGGCCGGCGCGGGGCTTGCCCTGGGGCGCTCTCCTGAAGAAGGAGGTCCTGGCGGTGAAGAAGAAGTCCTCGGCGTCCTCCTCCAGGCTGCTGTAGCCGCTGCTCATGCTGCTGGTCCCGTCGCGCGCGGGCCGCCTCCCCGGGGAGCTGGCGGCCAGGCAGGGGGTGTCGCGCCCGCCCGCCCCGCGAGGTTCCCGGCGCGCGGCCCCGAGCCGCCGGCGGGCCGTCCTGCTGCAGCTGCGACCGCCGCTCAATTCGGCCGTCCGCGCCCCTCCTGCCGCCTCCCGGCTTCCCGGCCCAATTCTGGGCGCGGCTGGGGCCCTGAAGCTCCCTGCGACCCCGCCCCTGGGGCCCCGCCCCGAAAGGCCCGGGACGCTCCGCACGCGGCTTGGGCACTCCCAGCGCGGCCGCAGGTGGGGGCGGCGCAGCCGGCTTGTTCCAGGCGTGCTGCTCTTCCCTAGCTGTATTTGGGGAACCCCGGGAGCCCCGCCACGATGCCTGCGTCTGTGCTCCCGGCCGCTTCCCCAGCCTCCCGGATCCTGCCAATTCCTCTGAGATCAGTCCACCCGCCCCACGCCCGGCTAACTCGGGTTTGGGGGAGGGCCCAAGCAGAGCAGGGAAATTTCTCCGCTGTCCCCGCACTGCTCGCCCCTTTTCGGGGTCCAGCTGGCGGCAGTGGAGATTGCCCGGCCGAGGGACCCCCCTCACAAGACCCTCAGGCGCCCCGCAGCCGTTTCGCCCCGTCCTGAATTCCGGCAACTCGGCCCTCCAGGAGGGTTAAAAGTTAGCTGAGACGAATGGGGAGGTAACGACTGGCTTGAGTTTATTCAAATGAAAACATCCTTTCCGGAAATTCAGTTGAGCTTCGGTCTTTCCCTCTCGCCCTTCTTTCTAGTGAGGGTTCATTCCCAGATAAGGACCGCCAAGGTCATTATGATCTTTGAGGCCACTTGGTGCGAAGGGGGGTGAATTAGTTCTGCAGTTCGAGTATGTATTAATTAAACGTGCTTTTTAAATGTCCCCTTCCACAATCCTCTTTAAACCCACAAGGCATGATTTCAGCGTTGGGGTGAAGGGTTCAGGGAACTCTATTCACCCTCCTCAACAACAACAAAAAAAAAAATCCCTATTTTCTGAATCCTTTCTGTCAGCTAATCCTCTTTTAAAATGCAAATTTTTCCTCCAAGCCACCTGTGGATGTTAGTCATTTACACCTTGGTGTTATTGAATTGATTTAAATCACACTAATTTCCTTGCAGAGATCCTGACCGAAAGGTTGTTTTGAAGTTTCAGCCCTGCTAGAGTAAGCCGACTTTAGGAGAGGTTTCTTAGGAGGGGAAGAGACGGGTTAGAAAACAAATTTTTCAGCCATTATAGCTAAACTTTCTTGCATTATCTCCTTTAGTCCTCAAAACAACTCTATAAGGTAGTTAGGACTATTTTATGCTCATTTTACACCTAGAGCAGCTGAGGCTTAAAGAAAGGAAGGGAGCTGTAAGGTGGCAGGGCTGGGATCATTATGATCTAAAGATCTTCAGATACCCTTCTAGGTCCTCTGCTTGGTCCGTGTCAGCCATGGTCGCTTGTGGACTAGCTGGGAGGGACAGCTGGCCCAGAGATGAGAAGGAGAGAATTGGCTCTTGAGTCATCCTATTTCAGGCAGAAAGAAGGCTTGCATACCTGCTCTATCTTCCTTCTGGCTTACATCCAGTTTGCAAAGTTGTCTATTAACCCAAGGGATTCACAGCAACCCCAGGAGGCAGGCCTTGGAGTTACAGCCCATTTTAAAGATGCTGCAACATTAAAGCCTTCCCAGCCACACAGATACTGAATAATTAGAAACCAGGAATTCTAATTCTATATTGTTTCACCCAGTCTAAGCTGATCCCTATGTATGCCATGTACATAACCTAATGTAAGGGAATGAGATGATATACTTACTTTATGATAGATTTTTGTCATTTGGTTTCCATTATTTCATTAACATAATCCTCATTAAATACTCCAATTTAAGAGTCATGTGTATGTTAAAGAATTTAAACAACTTGTTTTACTGTGAATGGAAAGAAGGAAATAACCGCACACAGAACAAATTATTTTACGCAGTTTCTGAATACTTTGAAGAAACATATTAAAAAAAAAAATACATTAAAGTGCTTTGTGATCCACCATACCATAAATAGGATTTTTTCCTGGTAGTGTTTTTAAGTTCCAAAGGACAGAATTAATTTTTATACCTGTCAGCACACCATTAGAATCAGGTGTAACAAAAAGGCATAATTGAATAATGAAGTAGAAGCACTGCTTTTAAACAACAAAAAGCAATAAATAAATAAAGGAAGGAAGAATTGGCATTCTGTTTCCTAAATCAGCATAGTAATCATATATCTATATTTTTCTCATAGTATTTTTTTTTTAAACACTTGGGCAAACTTTAGTACCTTTTTTTTTTTTGGCCACACCACGTGTCTTGTGGGGTCTTAGTTCCCTGACCAGGTATTGAATCTGGTCCCTAGGCAGTGAGAGCGTGGAGTCCTAACCACTGGACAGCCAGGCAGTTCCCCTGGTAGTATTCTTGATAAAAAAATATTATGAATTTAAAATTTGGTTCACAAAATTAGTATTTGGGGCTTCCCTGGTAACGCAGTGGTTGAGAGTCCGCCTGCCGATGCAGGGCACACGGGTTCGTGCCCGGGTCCGGGAAGATCCCACATGCTGTGGAGCGGCTAGGCCGGTGAGCCATGGCCGCTGGGCCTGCGCATCCGGAGCCTGTGCTCCGCAACGGGAGAGGCCACAACAGTGAGAGGCCCATGTAGCGCAAAAAAAAAATATTAATATTTGTCTGTAAAAATTCAAAATGTCGGACTTCCCTAGTGGCGCAGTGGTTGAGAATCCGCCTGCAGATGCAGGGGACACGGGTTCGTGCCCCAGTCCGGGAAGATCCCACATGCCGCGGAGCGGCTGGGCCCGTGAGCCATGGCCGCTGAGCCTGCGCGTCCGGAGCCTGTGCTCCACAACGGGAGAGGCCACAACAGTGAGAGGCCCGCGTACCGCAAAAAAAAAATTCAAAATGTCAGATTAAGCATTTTTAACGTTTAAAATTCAGGGAAGGGGATGGAATAACTAAAATGTGTGCAACCAAGTTCAGCTGAATGGACTTACTGTCAAATACACAGGAGAATTTGTAAGAAGAGGCTTTAGTAACAGTTATAACCCTTTTTGCTCACCAAATAAACCACCCAGGAGAAAAATAATCCTATAAATGTGATTATAAATCACGAAGTTTAAATCAGATTCTTTAAGTACTATATATCCACAAATAGTAGAAACTCAAATATCAATATAATAAATGTAGAAAAAAAATTTAGACACAGCTCACCCTTTGACTAAATATATTTAGAGGTAAAATTTTTCTTTTTTGTCAACTTGTCCTAATAAAACACAAGATCACAGAGGAAAAGACTTCTAGGTTTGACTATGTAAAATTTTTAATATTTTAACACACATAATGGCAAAAGACAGGGAAAAACTGGGGGAAATATTTTGTGCATAACTGTATCCTTAAAATACAAAGAGCTCATATAAATCAATTAGAATTTCAACACCTAATGACAAAATAAGCAAGGGACATTACAATCAGTTTATAAAAGGAGAAATAGGGACCACCCTGATGGTGCAGTGGTTCAGACTGTGCTCCCAATACAGGGGGACCGGCTTTGATCCCTGGTCAGGGAACTAGATCCCACATGCATGCCGCAACTAAGAGTTTGCATGCCACAACTAAGGAGGCTGTCTGCTGCAACTAAGACCCAGTGCAACCAAATAAATAAATATTTTTTAAAGTATATAAAAACTATTAAAAAAAGGAGAAATAGAAATACGTCACTTATAAATTAAAACATTCATTCAGTCAACAAATATTTATTGAGCACATGCTATCTGCCAAACACTAATTTCAGCACAGGATATATCACCGGACAAAAGAGACAAAAATCTTTGTTTTAGGAGAGCATGTATTTTAGTGAAGGTTAGAGGGAGATAGGCAAAATGAATAAGGAAATTATATAATATGTCAGAAGGTAATAAGTACTCTCACGTAAAAATTATGGAAGAAGAAAAAAAATTATGGAAGAAAGATGAAGAATGTTTTAAATAGACTGGTTGTTGACACTCTCACCAAAAAGGTCACTTTTCAGCAAAGATGTAGGAGGTAAGGAGCTAGCCATGCAGATATCCTTGGGGAAAATATTTCAGGCAGACAACAGCAAGTGCAAAGGCCCTGAGGCAGGAGTGCATTGGCATGTTTGAATAACAGCAGAGAAGTCAGTGTGTCTGACATGGGTGAGTGGAAGAGTTATAGGAATTGCGATACAAAAGGTTACAGGGACAGAAAGGTTACTGTTCCTATAGTACCTTGAAAACAATTACAGGGACTTTGATTTTGCTTTTTACTCTGAGATGAGAAACCACTGGAGGTTTTGAGCAGAGGAATGACATGATTTGACTTACCTTTTTAAAGGAATCCTTTGGTTGCTGGGCAGAAAATAAACTGTTAAGGCTTATGAAAACTCAAGCAAATGAAAACAACAAGGTACATTTTTCATTCATGAGATTAGCAAGTATTTTTTAAAACAGGTCATGAAACAGCATGTATGCTATGACTACATTTGTGTAACCATAATTGTAGGTGATATTCTTAAGTTATACTAAAAAGTGAGGTAATTTATCTGGGAGATTTATAATAAAGGTCACATTGACAGACAACTGTTGCTTTGATACCTTTGTCCTATGGAAGAAGCGTGGCCTCAGAGGTTAGGCAGGCCTGAATTTGAATAACACTGTCACTTACTCTTGTGTGATCTTTAATAATTTAATTAGCTTCTCCGCCTCAGGTTCATCATAAGTAAAATGGAAATAACAATGTCCCTGTTTTAGCTCCTTTAGTTTACTTTAAGGATTAAACAAGAGAACCCATGTAAAGCCCTAAGCATAAAATAAGGCCAAGCAAATATTAGTCTTTCTTGACCTAAATATTAGGCCCTGTTACATACTCAATATCCACTACTCACTTCCTTGTTAACCAAACAAGGACTTTAGTTCAGGAATCCTCCCTTCCCAGGGAAGGTGATCCAATCCCAGCTTGGGAGAAAAGCCTGATTTTTCAGTCAGTTGTGGTGTCCCATGGCCCTTGCCAGGGATCCCTTTAGGTGTGAGCAGGTCTCCTACAGACCTG